TGGCAATTAAAAAATAATTCAATGACTTGTAAAGACATTTCTCCACAGAAGATATACAAATGGTCAATAAGCCCATGGAAACATGCTGAACAACTCTAGTCTCAACAACTCTCAACTATGGAAATGCAAATAAAAACTATAGTGAGATACCACTTCATACCCATTAGATAGCTACTATAAAAAATAAAGGTAAATGTTTGCTAAGATATGGAGAAATTGGAACCCTTGTTCAGGCTGGTGAAAAAGAAAAGTACAGCTGACAAGGCAAAAGGTAGGGTGGTTCTTCAAAAATTTAAAAATAGAATTATCATACGTTCTAGCAATTCCACTTCTGAGTATGTATCCAAAGGGATTGAAAGCAGGAACTAGAACAGATACTTATATGCCAATATTCATTTCAGCATTATTCACAATAGCTAAAGGTGAAAACAACCCAAGTCCATAAACAAATTAATAGATAAAGAAAATTTGGTATAATACATACAATGGAAATTTATTTGGCCATTTCAAAGAATGAAGTTCTGATACATGCTGTAACATTCATGAATCTTGAAGAAGTTATACTAAGTGAAATAAGCCAGACACAAAAGAACAAATATTATATGATTTCACTTACATGAAGTAACTGGAAAAGGCAAGTTCATAGAGACAGAAAGTGGATTAGAGGTTACCAGAATGTGGGAGTGAGAAAATAGGGAGTTATTGCTTAATGATTACTGCATTTGTTTGAGTTAATTTAAAAAATGGAAATTGATAGTGCTGATGGTTGCACAACATTGTGAATGTATTTATGTCACTGAATTTTATACTTAAAAATGGTTAAATGGTTAATTTTATATTACATATAGTTTACAGCAATAAAAAATACCCAAAAAAGTTCACAACACATTGTAGATGCTTAATAGATACACTTTAATTAATTAAAGGGAGACTAATAGCCATCAAATTGATGGTAGAATAACAGAAGGTCCTTGATAAAGTGATTTTAACAATGAGTTGGCAAACGCTGAAACTACCTACCTCTATACATCCATAAAGTCAGTTAATGTAATTCTGTCATTGTTGAAGACACTTCATTTTCCATTTTCTACTCATAGCCAAAGTCATAATTACCAACAGTTAACTACATTAAAAAAAGTTCCAAGAGCCTACATATGGCTAAAATACTGTAACCAAAATAAATTTAACTAAATTGGAAAATATTTGCCTCAACAATGTTAGGTATATATAATATTTTAAAATTTAAAGAAGGAATTTAATTTGTTAAGAATAATTTTCATTATACTAGATAAATGAGAAATGTGATATTGACTGATAATTTCAGGAAGAACAAAACATATTATTCATTTAACATGAAATATTCTGTATTTCCATGTTAAAAATCCAACTAAAATATTAATAAGATGTAATCTTTAGCTTATCAAAATGACTAAGCATTTTAAAAGAGTAATCATTAATGTTAAAGAGTGTTTTTGTGATAGTCACTCACCTATACATTACCTTTTAGGATATCAATTAGTACAACCTTTCTGGAAAATGATTTGGTTTAATAAATGTGTTAATTTATTAACAAATTATCAAATGTGTTAATGGAAGTCCCTATCCTTTATATTCACTAAAATTAGGTTCAATTGCATATAAAATAATTAAATAAACAAACAAAACAAAAATACTGACTTACAAGAGGTAGAAATTAAAAATTTTAAAGCAAAACCTAGAACAAACAGACAAAAATATAGTCCAAGGTGATTATATTTCCTATGTTTATCAAGAACCTGATTTCTTCTACTTTTCTGCCATCTTTTGCCTGTTGCCTCATTATATGCAATGGTTAAAAGCTAATATTGTCATGTACGTATTCAACAAGAGGGAAGAAAGAAGGGCCAGAGGAAGTATATATTACAATCATGAACATACTTTCTACTGTGCCAGCAAACTTCAAAAGTAATTAAGGTATCCAGAGGATCACATAAAAACCATGTATTCTGTACTAAAGAATGGGTAATATTGTATTAGAGCAGACGATCAGCACCCTTTGATTTCAAAATTTTAACATCTAGGAATATAGTCTATAAAAATCATTTCTTGCTAGATTTTCAATCTATAAGGGGAGTTGCTATGGGTGTCTTGTGCCATACATTATGTTGATACTCTAACATGATATCTGGAACATGGAAAACACTAGGTTTACCAGAATACTAGATAATGAGCTTTCACAAAAAGTAAATGTTTCATTGCAATGGAATAATCAAACACTGGAACCTCTTATAACAGGATGTGAAGCAACAAATAAAGATACGTATTCAAAATTTCTGGTAAAATGAGAAAATATTCGACACATTATGTTAATTGAAAAAATATGATACAAACAATATTTCACAATGAGGTATTTTTATACACAGTTACATACACCACTTTGTATGTAGGCATTTACACATTTTAAATTGAAGAATCTCAATTATTCAGTAAATATTTCAATTTCAAGAAGCTCATTCAGACAATGGAGATTCCTTCGGTGACACATGAGTTTATTTTCTCTCTGACCCACATACATTGAATCCTCATGAAGTATTTCTACACAAACACTGCTGCTACTCTAGGGTGTAGCAATCCCTGGAAAACCTGAAGGACTATATCTAGCTTACATTCTAAGAGCATAGGTGAAATACATATTTCCACATTTCAATTGAGAACTTGAAGGGATGGTCCCTGCACTCTTTTTGCCCGTCTTTGGCTACTATGAATTTTCTAGAATGCTTTAGTAGCAACAGGGTAGATAAGTAATTCAATAGCTGAAGAATAAAATCTCTAATTTCCTACTCTTTTCAGCTTTAGTGTTGCAGTCCTGTTTAGATCTCCCAGAAAGGAAATCACTAGTTTTTTTTTTTTTTTTTTGAGACAGAGTCTCACTATGTTGCCTGGGCTAGAGTGCCGTGCGTCATCTTAGCTCACAGCAACCTCAAACTCCTGGGCTCAAGCGATCCTCCTGCCTCAGCCTCCTGAGTAGCTGGGACTACAGGCATGCGCCACCATGCCCGGCTAGTTTTTTTCTATATATTTTTAGTTGTCTGATTAATTTCTTTCTATTTTTAGTAGAGACGGGGTCTCACTCTTGCTCAGGCTGGTTTCGAACTCCTGAGCTCAAACAATCCGCCCGCCTCAGCCTCCCAGAGAGCTAGGATTACAGGCGTGAGCCACCGTGCCCGGCCGGAAATCACTAGTTTTGTGACTATTTCCAAATATATGTTGTTATTGATTTAGAAATAATTGAAGATACTTCTTCAATATAAGTAAAATTCACAAACACACACACACACACATACACATGCATATTACCTATGAAAGTTGGACCATGAGCCAAAGGCATCACTTTCTCTTATGTAGATTTATGTGCCCTCAGTATAAACACAACATGAAGATGATAATGAGAATCATTCAGCTCAGATTGTTTTACTAGATTCTTTTCCTCTTTCTTTAATCTTTCTCTTTTCAATGTTCACTGACACATTTTCTTGATTTGTCATCAAAATTAATGAGAATAGTCCCTTGAATGATCAGATAATTTGCAGTCTATTCCTCTGGATTACAATTAACATTACTGGTGGATATTTTTTTCTTAAATTCAGGCTATCTTTTAAGATCATGATAAATTAACTGTAATGGAGTAAAAGCACACATAGGAAATTTTTTATAAACTGTCAAAATATGCAAATATACACCATCCTAACCAAGACAATGCTAAATAGAGTATGATAAAATGAGTTTAGAAATTCAAAAATAGAGCATAGAATGAACACTTTTCTTTCAAGGGAAAAAGTATAAAATTATATGGCAGTCAGTTCAATGCAGTCAGGTAGTACCTGACACCTGAAAACCCACACAGATTTTGTTCAAAAGAAGAAATAAAAAATTCAAGAGAAAAAGTGACATGATACTCTATAACTATCCATTGAGAGAAGTACTCTAGATAGAGAAAAGATTGGTAAAATACGACACTACGGCCTAATGACAAAACTGTTTTGGTTATCATCAGGAATAGTGTAGATCTTAAAGAAAATATAATCATTATATCACATACTCATTATGACTTGTCTTACGAGATTTTCCATACAAATCTGACTTATTATTGAACTTCAAAAGAGGAAGAGGAAGAAGGCAATATTATGGTAAAGACTAGTTAGAATAATGAATCATAAGGAAATTCTAGAAACAGAATATTTCTCTATAACATATTTTGGAATACAGTTTGAAAGCATTATTCAAGAATGGGAAATGGGACGATAGATATTTTCAAAGAATCAACTTGAACTTCATTGAGGAAACAGAAATAGAAAAGGTGGTAAAATAGTTTTGGATATTGTTAAGTCCTTTGGAGATGTGCTTGTGGGAATAGATGTTACTTAGAAACTTTAAAAATATCTAGCTAGGCAATATGTACAAAAAATCCAAGAAAGCCTCTGGAAGGTATAGTGTGAGGATTTCATCATTTGCCTGTTCAGGACATATTTATTTTACTAGCACTAATGCAATTTCCAGGGTTATAGATTTTAAAGTCTGGAAGTCTTATTGTACAGGATATATCCTGTCAATCAAAACCTACAAATCTATGTACAGCATCATAGTGAAACTCAGAGATTGTAAGTTGATAATGATATCCCTGATAAAGATGGTAGGACTGAACAAGAAGATAGTTTTGTGGGAGCAAGCATATCAGCAAATGAGATCACATAATAGTGGAGACAGTGTTTTGTGAGGTGAATATTCCAAGAACAAATCAGCTAAGTCAGATATCTCCTAAGCAAGTTTCCTGAGGGAAACAAAACTTACTCAATGCTAATTAATACTTTAAATATTGCAAATAAAAGTTGTGCGGATACAGGCTACTAGAAAAGGGGCTTATGTGTCTTTGTTCATTTGTGTGTGTATGTTTTTTTTTTTTTTTGGTTTAAATAGGTCATGGAAACCTGTTAGAGGAAGAGTCGGCTGTTTTAGAGTTTGTGTTAAGTCAAAATTTGGAGAAACCGTTCTCTGATTCTCTTGGTTTTTATGCCATAGATCATTGGGTTTGCCATGGGTGGAACAAGGACATATATGTTAGCCACAAAGATGTGAATGTGAGGAGCCACATTGTGTCCAAACCTGTGAGTAAGGAAGGAGAAAAAGGCTGGAGTATAGGCCACTAAGATCACACACACGTGGGATCCACAGGTGCCCAAGGTCTTGACCCGAGCAGCCTTGGATGGAAGGTGGAAGACAGTATAAAGGATGACAACATAGGAGCATATGATTAGTATGAAATCCAAACCCCCAGTGAGGAAGGCAGCTGTTAGGCTGTATATCCTGCAGATCCTGGTCTCTGCACATGCAAGCTTGATCAGAGCCATAAATTCACAGTAAGTGTGAGGGATGATGTTAGTTTTGCAGTAGGGAAGCCACCGAAGCATGAATGGCTGAGGACTAAAAAGCAAAGCCCCACGGAAAACAATCGCTAGCGCCAAGTTCTTGATGACTCTGTGTGTCAGGATATTGGAATGTCTCAGAGGATTGCAGATTGCCACATAGCGGTCAAAGGCCATGGCCAAGATGAACCCTGAGGCCATGCTGCATAGTGAGTGAATGAGAAACACTTGTATGAGGCAGGCTTCAAAATAGATCTTCCTGCCCTGGAACCAAAAAATGCTGAGGATTTTAGGCATAGCAGTGGTAGAGATGATCAAGTCAGCCATAGAGAGCATGCAGAGGAAGAAGTACATGGGCTCATGTAGGTTGGGATCTGTTCTGATAATAAACAGAATAGAGAAATTTCCCAGGAGAGCACTCAGGTAAACCAAGCAGAAGGGTATTGATATCCAGGTGTGGATGGCTTCCATTCCTGGAATGCCAAAGAGAAGAAAGGTGCTGGGATGAAAATTGGTATTATTTGACAATGACATGATGAAAACTAGTGGTCGTGTTCAGCTGTGGAATGGCGTAGATTTTTCATACGCTTCTGTCCATTCATATACTGATGTCTGTACTAATTAGTGTAAAATACTTGACAATGGTTTTTACCATAAGGAAAAATAGTAGATAGAGCTCAAGCTCTAACTTTAGATATTAACATTTCAATAGAGGAAAAACTTGTGCATACTGATATTAAAGTCTCATGTGATTATTTCAGTAAACATTATATGCACAAACAGTTCATATGACCCAATAGATGGAGAATTTATTCTATCTGTATCAGTCAAAGGATCATAGATAAGTTATTTAATCTTGGTTCTGAAGCATTCTGGACCTTCAAAATAAAGAGAAAAGTATAAATTTTTAAAAATTCTCAATCAGAAGGCATCAGTGGCTCACTGAGAAAATAAAATAATTGCTTTTACATTACCTCACACACTTATCATTTTTTATGTGTGGTGGGAACACTTAAAATCTGCTCTTAGCAATTTTCAAGAATATGATACATTGTTATGAACTATAACCACCACATTATACAGTAGCTCTGTTTAATGTATTCAAGATTCTGTATCCTTTGATACAACATATCCTTTGAGCAACATATCCTCAGCTCCTGGTAACCAACATTTTAATCTCTACTTCTGTGAGTTCAACATTTTTAGATTCCCCTTATAAGTGAGATCATGTGACATTTGTCTTCCTTTTCCTTATGACTGCCTCCTTGTGTTATAAAACACATAGGTGGGGCCAACATGACACATTGTTAATTATAAAAAGAAAGTCCCTATGTATCAACCATATGCTGACTACTTAAAAAAGGTTCCTTATATATATATCGACATAGTGAGAAGTGTGAAACCTTATGAACCAATCTGTTAGGAGAGATTTGGTATTGCACATCAGGCTTTTATAACAACAATGCTTGTTAGTTTCAAACAATTCAAATTGATAACAAGTAAGAATCATTTTCCTCATCAAAAGATGTAATACTTTAGTGGTGTCTCACAAATAATTAATACATTTTATTTTCATTTTCCTTCAGTTGAAATTACTGTCTAATATTCTATTTGATTTCTTTGATCCATAGATATTTACAATTGTGTTATATAATTTTCAAATATCCAGAGAATTTTCAAAAGAAATTGCTATTTCATTTGAACTATCATAGCAGAACCCTAACCTCAAATGTATCATCCTTACTTAGGATTCATTTGTCCATAATTATTTCTAAAATATATTCAAATGGCAATGAGATTGTAGAATGAACAAAACCAAAGATTATTTCCTAAATTCTACTTGGATGTTTATTTTTCCACAATTGGCATGTTTCGATGTAATTTGAATTGCAAATGATTTAAACTCCTTTTCCAAAAGAACAAGAGCTATAAAAGTAACAGCAAAAGTTTCTAAACGAGGTTACTACTTGCATCTGTCTCTTCAAACTAATCAAAAAATCTAGAGCCATTCTTACAGCAGGTAACTATTTTTGAACCTGGTGATAATCATCTTCTCTCACTTAATATCCCATTTCAGCTCAAAACAGATCCACTTTCCTCCATCTCTTCCAGCCAACGAAAAGTTTAGACTATAATGTTCCAAAGTTTACAGTAGACATTAGAAAATTCGCACTATATAGCTAAGTTCTGCCATGCTCTGAAGTTCCAGCATTAACTTTGAGGATAGTTTCTAAACCAGATATGCAAAACAACAATGGTGGCACAATGAACTCTTTGAGAGATATTAATCCAAATAAGAAAAACCAGTTGTGAAGAGAAATTAGAGAGCTTTCAAAAATAAGAACTACAGATTCTATTACTAATATTCTAGTATGACCAAAGAAGTGACTGAACAGAAAAGTCCACATTCTTCAAGTGTTATACAAAAGATTTATAACTTCTAAGAGCTGTGGTCCTCAACACCTGATCAAGCTATAGGTCAAAGAATTTAAAAGAGGTAATGGTCCTAAAGCCTACAGGTTGACATAGGAGGAGAAATAAACTTATCACTTAGTTTTGGAGTTGGCAACCACTTGGCAACCACAGATTTTTCTCATTTAAAAATGAATAAAAGAAAAGATAAAGAAAATTTAATATTATTTTGTAATGATACTGGGAATTGGCTTAATATATACAGTTCAAGATTTCTTTTGGATGGTGGCTTTACTGAAGCAAATAAAACAAAAGCTTAGATATTAGTACATAAACTGTAATAAAGCACACCCATTATTTTGCAGTGATATTTGTTCTTCAGAACAAGAATTCATTTAAAGAGTAAATGAAGATTAAAATTATACTCCCCGACAAATATATAAAATAGGACAATATATGATACCTGCATGACATAATTTCAATCATGAGCTTTCTAATAAAGGTATAGACTACATTGTTTTCTATTATGTAAAAAGGAAACTAAAAAAACTTTTAATTAAGAAATTAAAAAACAATAATTTCTAGAAAAGGAGGAATAATAATGAAGACATGAAAACAACAACAACAGTAGCATTGAGGACAACAGTAAAAAAATTAAAACAAAAGAAAAAAAACATGCATTTGAAAGAGGACCAAACCTGACACAATTCTAGCAGGATTGAGAAAAACTATAGAGATAAATTAAGCAAATTTAGGAATGCAAATTAACTAACAATATATTTACTTATGAAATGTCACATGCATTTCACATTAGGAAATTACTTGGCCTGTATGGTAGGCCCATAATCTCTCCAGCCAAGAGAACATTCTTTGGTATAAAGATTTTCTTTCCACATTCACCAACCCTTGGAGTCATCTATTTTTGGTCTTCATTTTTTTCTGGAGACTTCATGACTAAGGTATAATTAGAAATTCAAATGGCATTAGAGCTTTTTTGCAGTAGGGTATAATAAAGTAAAGGAGTCCAACACCCAGGACCTATTGAGATACATTCATTTAGTCTATTTCCCCAAAAGCCACACAGACACAATATTTGCGTGGAATTTCTTTCTATTTGCCCCATTGCTGCTATAGAAATTGTCTCCTCTGGGTAGAAGAAAGGCCTCCTGCCTATCACCTCAACAACAATGATATATGCTTCAGAGATGACCTATGCATGTAGCCTTCCTGGGCATGCAGAATTGGAAACAGGAATAAACTCACACATTCTCCCCTCTTTCCAGGTGCTTCTCTCTTCATCACAGCCTTGATGAATTTCAGCTCCTGATGAATACCCTATATAGCTTGGCTTAACCCTTGAGTGTTTCATGCATACTAAATGCTGTTGTGTGTACTTTGCCCTAGGGTCTGACCAAAATGGGAGTTAAGGAACTCTTGCTTTTATGTCTTTTTCCCCCCCCACTGGCAATAGTTTTCCTTGGAACCCCTCAAATGGATGGCATGCGTTTCCTAAAGGCAGGATCAGACAGGAAAACTATAAGGATTCTGGGGAAAATGAAAATCTTAAGAAAAGTAATAGTTGTTGGTTCAGGAAACATGACTGATGATTCAGACACTGAATTGATAGAAATGAGGAAACGGCATCTTTTAAATTTGAAAAAGTTCCTTTATAGCAGATGCTAATTGTCATCTTCTGACCTCTGATGACTCTAGAAGTCTCATTTTATTTCTGCAATGTTATTCTATTTTATGATTTCTTTGGCCTTGGTGAAGTTCCCAGGGCATCTGGCTCTATCTTTTTTTATGATAAAGGGAGATATTGAGATGATTGTATCATATTTGACCCTACCTATCTGTATCACCAGAAGCACCAGCTCTGTCTTTATTATAACTTATTGTTTTTTCAGCTAACATCAACTATATTAATAGTTCTAGAATCACAGCCTCTTGGGGCCAAGAAAATGACCCAGGTGTGTATGGATTCCTGATGGAGCCCAACATTGCCAGAGAAGAGACTTTTAGTAAAAGACATTATTGGGTCCTCAGAGTTATCCTCCCACAAAGGGAGGGAAATAGAGAATTTCTTCAACCAAATCTGTCACAATATAAAACTCTTTTCATTTCAAATATACTGATTGGTCAAATATATTTAGTTCATAAATATGCTGATTACACTATTTTTTTAAAATTTATGATCAAATTGGCTTTGCATAATTTTTAACTTGGTTGAGTATGCAAAATTAATATTACTTGTGAAAATGTAATGCAATAAATACTTTTCTCCTAATGCTGTATTTTTATAATTGTATATTCAAATTTCATAAAATATAATAGTAATTTTATATTCCATAATTTATTTAATCCTTCTCCTGTTCCCAGATATATGTGTTATTTTCATTTTTCTATTAGAAAAAAAACATTGAAGATCAATTATTTTTGAAAATATGATAAAAACATAATTGATATAAAGGGAAAAAACTACTCCTCTGAATATTATCCTACAAATAGATTTTATGATCACTTACTGCACAACCATGTAATGGAATATTTTAAGCACCCCTGCATTTATTTATTTATTTAATAAACACATAAATTGACTCTTCTGTGTACTAGTTAATAGGTAATAGTCTAGTGACTGGGAATATAATAAACAAAGAAGACAATGTCTCTGATATTAGGAATATTTCTTATAGTTGGAGAAATCAAAATAAAAACATAAAACAAAACATTTTAGTAAATAAAAATGCACTTTGATGGAATGTGATAGGTCGATGTGATGGAGACTGACTAGATGTAGGAAGGACTTAGAAAGGATGGTCAGGAAAGGTCTCTGTGAGGATATGGTATTTAACTGCGGACCTGAACAATAAGAATTGATTGGCTATTCAGAGAACTTAACAAGAGTGTTTGAAGAAAAAAATGTCAGAAATATTATTACAAAATCACTGGGAGAAAATCTTTGATAAGTATTGAGAAAGAGAAAAAGGGTGGGATAGTTGGAGCATGGTAATCAAAGGGAGAGACTGGAATCTGAGAAAGGCACAGTCCAGGTCAGCTAGGACATTGTAGACCAAGGCAAAAAAGCCAAAATTCAATCTAAGCACAATAGGAAAACATTATTT